ATAAGTTTCACAAGTGGCTGTTAGAAGGTACCCAGGTAGAGTAATCATCCAGCGAAGTGTAGGAGTCTCCCAGCTGCTTAAATACCCCTGGCCAGCTGATGAGCAGATCTGCTGCAGCTTGGTCACCTCCAGACACGCCCACCTGCAGAGGGAAACTCAAAAAGACAGGGAGTGACAGCAGGGAAATACCTCAGACCGTGACATCCTCAAGGCTCCGGTCTCGGTCCAGTCCAGTACTTAGTAAATGTTGTGCCTTTCAGGTTTGCGTTATCAAATAACTCTAAATTTTTATCTAAGCATCATCTCAAATTTGTTCTGTTAAAAACTTGATCTTCTTTAGCTGTCAACTGAAGCTTAGTTCAGTTACAACCATTATTTAAATAGTCTTGCAGATTTCCACAAATTTAAAGTAATGTTTTATGTAAAAATATAATACCATGTCTTTTGGGTAGGGTTAGATCATTCATCTCTAATGTAATAATAATATTATTATACTGAGCTCTTACTCCAACACAGAAGTTCAGTAAATCAACAAACTCGTGGGCTCAAAGACTGAAAATCTGATATAACTTATGCTGCAGTAAATAAAATCCCTCGAAAACTCCACCTGGTTCTTGAGTGAGAAGTTTAAAGAAGCTGTTCTGAAAGCACATTTTTTACCATCTAACATTCAATAGTTGGGCAACAATATGAATATAAAATCAAAAGTTCCGAAAATGCAATAAAACACCTACAATTCCATCTAAAGTCTTGTTTCTGTGTGACTGACTCACCGCGTGAAACTGACGAAGCGTTTTCTCATATTTCAGAACCGTTTCAGATTTCTGTTTCTGACAGCAAAGCAGAAAAAAGCAATCACGTTCTTTCATTATAAAGCAGCAGTTTTTATATCGTCGCTTCGTTTGGATCTCATGACTCACTCAGCAGATTTAATAACGCTGCAGGTGAACAGAGCCAACAACTCCGGAGATTATAGAGGAGTTGTTGTCTGAAAAAGGAAGTTTTAGTTCATGAACACGTTAGTGTTTCAAAATCTAAACTAGTTTAGAATAAACAAACTAATAAGCTCATTAACAGTAAAAACATTTCATAGTAGTAAGAAGTTCATTGTTTTGTCTAAAAAAATCCACAATCCGTATTTATTTTTCTGAGTTCCACATTAATCTGGTTTCTAAAGATGTTCAGATTCATGTGTTGCCTGCCTCTGACTCAGGAATTGGATTTTTTAGTCATTCTGATAATTGCTTCTGTGTAAAAATTTATAAGTAATTTATGTTGTCCATTGATGGATCCCTGAACAGCCTCTGTTCAGAGAAATAGATTTTAAAAGTCTCTAAAAAGCATTTATATACAATATGAATGAAACAACACAACATTAAATTGATCTTTGTTCAGTTCAGTTCAAAAATACTTTATTAATCCCAGAGGGAAACTGATTGCTGTAGTAGCTCAGAATAATAATAATAATCAAGTCATCAAAGAGTTGTTGTATATTACAACGGCTGTTGGCAGGAAGGATCTCCAGTAGCGGTCAGTGTTGCAGCCAAACTGAAGAAGCCTCTGACTGAAGACACTCTTCCGTTGTCGGACAGTCTTGTGAAGAGAATGCTCAGGGTTGTCCATCATTTTCTTGATTCTCTGGAGAATCCTTCTTTGCATGATCTCCTCCAGCGGTTCCACAGTCGTCCCCAGAACAGAACCAGCCCTTTTTATTAGGCTGTTGAGCCTTTTCAGGTCCCTGCTTCTGATGCTGCTACCCCAACAGACGATGGCTGAAGAGATTACACTCTCAACAACAGACTTGTAGAAGATCTGCAGCATCTTGCTACAGACATTGAAGGACCTAAGCGTCCTCAAGAAGTGCAGTCTGCTGTGTCCCTTCTTGTTAACAGCTTTGCTGTTCTTTCTCCAGTCCAATCTGTTGTCCAGGTGAACTCCAAGGTATTAGTATTCCTCAACCACCTCCACTTCTTCTCCCATGATGGAAACAGTGTTTGACTCCACCCTGTTTCTTCTGAAGTCTTAAATCATCTCCTTTGTTTTATTCACGTTCAAGGTCAGATGATTGTTTCCACACCATGCCACAAAGCGCTCCACCAGCTCTCTGTACTCAGCTTCCTGTCCATCTCTGATACACCCGACAACTGCAGAGTCATCTGAGTATTTCTGTAGATGACAGGTCTCTGATTTGTACTGGAAGTCTGAGGTGTACAAGGTGAAAAGAAATGGTGAGAGTACAGTCCCCTGTGGTGCTCCAATGTTAACTGATTGCCTGGTTTGATGTGCAGTTCTTCAGCCTCACAAACTATGGTCTGTTTGTCAGGTAGTCTTTAATCCAGGCAATAGTTGAGGCCCTCACCTGTGTCTTCTGGAGTTTCTGGCAAAGCACATCAGGCTGGATTGTGTTAAATGCACCGGAGAAATCAAAGAACATGACCCTGACAGTGCTGCCTGCTTTGTCCAGATGACAGTGGGTTGGTTGAAGCAGCTGGATGATGGCATCTTCAACTCCAACTCCATGGCGATAAGCAAACTGCAGCGGGTCCTGATATGTTCTAGTTTGCTTATTCAGGTGGACCAAAAGGAGTGTCTCCAGGACCTTCATGATGTGGGATGTCAGGGCAACCGGTCTGTAGTCGTCATTGACTGATGGGCGAGTTTTCTTTGGAACTGGAACAAGGCAGGATGTCTTCCACAGGACTGGAACCTTCTCCTGGGCCAGGCTGAGGTTGAAGAGGTGCTGCAGAATCCCACAGAGCTGCTCTGCACAGGCCTTCAGTACCCTGGGGCTGACACCATCTGGACCTGCAGCCTTGTTCCTGTTCAGTCTCTCCAGCTGCCTCTTCACCTAACTTCTAGAGACAGATGGGTGGGAGGGGGAGGTAACTGGGGCAGCAGCATCTCCTGACTTGGTTGAAGACAGATTTATAGAACCAGAAGAGTCCATGACTGTGTTAGAGGACAAAAGAGCTGGTGTGTGACAGGAAAATGTTGGCTCAGAGGAGGATGGGATGTCTGACTGGCTGGGGACAGGCGAGGAGGATGCTGGGTTTGCTCCTGAACTGAACCTATTGAAGAACTTGCTCAGTTCATTGGCTGCGTCCAGGCTGCCATCTGTGCAATCCTTCCTCTGCTTGAAGCCTGTGATCTTCTTCATCCCTGACCAGACATCTCTGATATTGTTCCTCTGTATTTTGTTCTCCAGCTTCTTCCTATATGCCTCTTTGCTGTCTCTGATCTTGATCTTCAGTTGCTTCTGTATACTCCTCAGTAATTCCCTGTCTCCCTCCTTGAAGGCTCTTTTCTTCTCATTTAGCAGATTCTTCAGTTCACTGGTGATCTAGGGTTTGTTATTAGCGAAGCATCTCACTGTTCTGGTGGGTATGATGTTGTCCACACAGAAGTTTATATAGTCAGTGACACATCCAGTCATGGCATTGATGTCCTCTTCATATCCTTGGCAGAGAGTCATCCAATCTGTGGTCTCAAAACAACCCTGCAGGGCTTCTTCAGCGTCCTGTGACCATTTTCTCACAGTTCTTCTTGTCACAGGTTGCCTCTGAACAAGTAGTTTGTATTCTGAGTAGAGAAAAACAAGATTGTGATCTGATTGTCCCAGAGGAGGTCTTGTTTTGGACATGTATGCATTCTTTACATTTGCGTAACACAAATCCAATGTCTTGTTTTCTCTGGTGGAGCAGCTGACAAAATGTTGAAATGTTGGAAGTGTAGCAGAGAGAGCGAGGCATGATGAAAATCACCAGATATAGCCACAAATGCATTGGGGTGCTGGGTTTGTAGCTTAGCAACAACGGAACTGATGGCATCACATGCATTTTCAGCAACAGCTGAAGGTGGAATATAAACGGTTGCCAAGACAACACTGGTGAACTCTCTTGGCAAATAATATGGGCGACAACTTACTGCCAAGAGTTCAACATCTGGGCTGCAGAGACGACATTTCACTGAAACATGACCTGGATGGCACCATCTGTTGTTGACAATCACTGCCATTCCACCTCCTTTTCTTTTCCCGCTCCTCTTCAGATCTCTGACTGCTCGTACAGTCAGGAATCCTGGCAGAGAGACGCTGGAATCGGGGATATGGTCCTGCAGCCACGTCTCACTGAAACACATAACACTGCACTGCCGAGTCCTCTCTGGCTACTACTCTGGCTGAGTCCTTGAAAGGGCTTGGAGTTCCTCCATCTTGTTGGCCAGTGATCTCACATTGCCCATTATGATCGATGGAAGAGATGGTTTGAATTTCCTCTTTCTCGGTCTCCGTTTTGCTCCCGCTCTGCACCCACGCTTCTTGCGTTTTAGCTCATTTGGGATTTGTGGCTTCAGTTGAGGTATTATTTCAGCCTTCCCAATGTTAATCAGCTGCTCCCGATTGTAAACCAGCTTGTTGCCATGGTTACGCATCATAACAAAAGCTCAAAAAGTGAAAAAGCTAAAAAAAAATAGCAGTAAAAATCCTCTAAGCTTCACAGCACCAGAAACAGAATAGTAAAATGTCCAAAAAATACAGTTTTCTTGAGAAACTAGAAGAAAAAATGTCCAAGAAAAGGCAAAACTTACATATAGTCAACAGAGCTACTCCAACATGCAGCCACCCAGAGCAGCGCAGTTCAAGAAGAAAAATAAATAAATAAATAAATAAATAAATGTGTGTGTGACTTTGCAGCCTAGCAGACAGAGAAGTACATAGTAAGCCTTACACTAAAGGCTGTGTCCACATTCAGGGGGCCCATCAACAGTCTAGCCTTTAAGTTTATTCCCTCTTTTGCCTCCCTGTGTTTCCCGTTGCCTAGCAACCATTATGGCACTAAACAGAAACTAACAAAAATGGAGCTTTAAATTTGGCGGAGGGTTTCTTGTTCTTCCAAACAAGACAAATGTGTTGCTCCATAAAGTTTATAAATTAGTAAAATATTTCTTTAATGAATTCCAGTCGTGCTAGCTCGGGTTCTGACTGTGTTTCTAATCCCTCACAGAACCAGCCTTACCGTCACCTCCTCTTTATTCATTGCACCTTTGTGACCGGTCTGATGGCCGCCAGTTCCAGCGCCGCCCCCCAGTCCAGCACAATGGAGGAGTCCCAGCAACCCAATAACACACAGCCTGATGGTGGAGCTGCACAGCCTGTGGTCAGCTCTCAGCCTGCTGGTGCAGAGCAGCAAACGGTGTCCTTCACCACAGAAGACACAAAACTAGAGGACAAGTCAATGGACCACCTGACGGTAATCAGTGAGAGCACAGAGACCAGTACGTATACTTCTATGGTCAATCAGTGTTCTGCAGGAGCACCTTGTCTGCTCAACGTGATCTAACTGGTTCTGGTGTCGGTCCAACTGTTTTTTTTTGTTTGTTTTTTGCTGGTTCTGTTGTTGGACTAACTGGTTCATTTGTTAGTCTAACTGGTTCTGTTGCTAGCCCGATGGGTTTTATCAGTGTTGGGAGTAATGCGGTACAAAAGTAATTAATTACTGTAATGCATTAGCCTAGTGAACTAGGCATGCTCCATTGGAACCTCCGCAGCTCCTACCAGTACTCTGGCTAGCCAATCACAGCTCTCTAGAGGGGTTTCAAACACATAAAGAGCTGTGATTGGTCCATAATGGTGGGCCAATCATAGTGCTCTATCTGTTTAGTGAACAAATCACAGAGCTTTATCCGCTTTGTGGGCCAATCAGGGCACTCTATATGTCTGGTGGGTGGGATGAAGCAACAGAGTGAAACAAGAGTATGTCACATTCATTGTCCAGTGGAATGCGGAGATCATTTGAAAGACAACAGTAGAACCCGTCCCACAACCGAGAGCCATCAGTGGAGCGTGGCCACACTAAATAATACATTTATTTAGTCTGGCTTGCCAGGCTAGTAATGCATTGCTTTTTGCTGTAATGTGGTAATGTAAGGCATTACAGGGAAAGAAAATGGTAATATTTACTCGGTACAATTGTCAGTAACGCGGTAATTACAACGCATTTTTAAACCCAGAATCAAGATGTGGGTTTCATAAAAATTCAAATTGCAGGAAGCCTGAAAAAAGATCCAGTATCCACATATATGACGTCATTTATGGACTCCGCTTTGCGGGCATTCTATGAGCAGAGAGGACGCAGCGGTGATGGCTCAAATACTCCAGCTGTGTCCTGCGCGCGGCCGCTGTTATATTCACAAAACCGCTCCACCAAAAGAAAGTCATTCGTTTGTGATCATTTATATCGGCCCATACTCTCTGGTACTTCATGTACTTTTCAGCTGAGTTCATAATCTGTGCCCCGGTGATTTCAACTCATTGCTGCTGGAGCGCAGCGCGTATTAAGCTTATTTATTTATTTTTTTTAGCGTTCGGTAGATCCCTTTGGCTGATCGTTAGAAAGTAGGAAATCTAGGAAACAGTTTTTCTGAAAGACGGTGAAAACATGCAGCATGCAGGAAGGTTAGAGAGAGAAAGGGCCGGAAATTATTCACATAAAACCAAGAAAAAATGAAAAAAGTAGGTGGATTTCTCCCCAATACACATTTTTACCAGTGAAAAGCAATAATATATAAGCATTTAATATTTATACATGTGATAGAATCAGATCACCCCAGAAGTCAGTCCCACATCCAGGGCCGTATCAAGGCATTTGGGGACCAAGGCAAATATAGGCTTGGAGCCCCCACCACCTCACTCCCTGCTCGGTTAATATAAGATGGCAGCGTGCTGAGAGTACAGATTGTTGTTGCTTTTATTTAATAAACAATCATTTTAAAGCACTGTTATTATATCTGACTGTTTTTAACAGCAATCCTAGCTCAGACACCACATCACCTTCCACATATATGTCATGAGCTCACTGAGCGTCACATTACCAGATGGTGAAAGTAACTTGAAGTAATGCAAAAGTAGTGTAATGCCTTACATTTTAAAATCAGTAATATTGAATTACTTTAAAATGAGGCTATTAAGTAATAAATAATACATTACAGTTTTGAAGTAACTTGCCCAACACTGAGGTTTTATGGTTTTTGATTTTACGTTTCTGTGTGAGCCTCTTTTTTCTACCGGTGGTCCTACTCTGCCATGTCTCGTGTACCGGCTCTAGGGTGGCAGCAGTTGACTCGGCTGACTTTTCTAATTATTCTCAAACCAGGACGTGAATGAAATATTTGTTCTGCGGCTCTAACTACTTCAGCTGTTCCTGGTTTTGTGTTTTTGTTTGATTCCAGCCTTTAAGGACTTCCTGCTGACTTGTCTTCCAGGTAATGGCATTGCTCCAGTAATGGGAGAAACATCTCCCACAGCGTCCTCTGTGTCGCCCAAGCTCCACGCTAAGCCAGGCAGCCATGTTAATGGCCGGCCTCGCTTGGGCAGCCGGTCCGGCTCGGTGGCGGCGGGCTCACCCAGGCCCTCGCTCACCCGCCAGCCCAGTGCAATCACAGAGGGCGCTGCGGATGGATCCAAACCAAGGGACTACCTGATCCTTGCTATCTTGTCCTGCTTCTGCCCGCTGGTGCCCATCAACATCGTAGCCCTCATCTTCTCCGTGATGGTGCGTTTTCAGCTGAAAAGAACGTCCAGTTACACCCTGAAGTCAAAACTAACACACTCTGCTCTGAAACTGTTATAAATATTAGTGCTAAGACAATATTAAGATAACAAAACAATAGGAAACATACTAGAGATAACAAGTACATTAGAGTAAATCTGTGTTGTTTAGCACCATTTTACTTCACATAATAATGCACTTCATCTGGACATCATGAGTTTCACTCCATCTACGTCATCATCACATATTCATAAGTTTAACTGTTTAGCAGGTTATCAAAATTGTGTTTTATTTAGATTAAGGATCAATTTATTAGTATGCTTTAGCTTTAGTTCCTCTGTCGTTATTTCAAAATCAGTTACATCTTTTCCAATGAAAAAATATAGATTTAGATTATTTAAACTTTTTAAAAAATCATTAAGTCCATCAGAAATCCCACTGACTCCAGTAATGGGCCCTGAGGAACTCCACAGGAAACATCCCATAATGTAAATCTGTGTTATTTGAATTTTTGAAACCTTTGTTCCAAGTAAATCTTTATTCACTCCTTTTATACCATTTTTTATTGTAAACTTCATTTATGTTAAACTTAAATTTGATGAACTGGGTCTAAAAACTAGAGCTGATCTTTATTTTCTGCTGGGTTTTTTCTGTCTCTACGTTAACAGAAAAGTTAGTGGCCTGGGACATTTTAACAAAAAGTTTCTCTTGTTTGAGTGAAAGTTTCCTTTTGTGTTTCTACTCAGTCTCGAAACAGTCTGCAGCAAGGCAATGTGGATGGCGCTCGGCGTTTGGGCCGGAACGCCATGGTCTTGTCGGTCATCTCCATTATAGGAGGAATCGCCATCATCGCAGCAGCAATCGCCCTCAACTGGGGGAGTAAGTAATCAGCTGGCTTTACTTCAAACTAATCTCCTGGGCGTGTCTGAGAGTCTGTGTGTATTCCTCCAGTGATATTAAAGTCCTGAATGAAGGAGCCAGGACACCGAGACCTACTTCATGACTACATCCAAACCAACACAACCCTGTTCCGTCTGAAGCACCTGGATCATCAACTGCACCAGATGAAAAACACAACCCTGACTCTGTTCCTGTTTGTTTGTTTCTGCACGACGATGAGCATGGTCCGCCTGACGCGCCTCCTCCAACATGAACAGCCAGTTAGTCCCAACCGGAGTGCCGCAGGAGGATGGATCAGCAGTTCTTCCTGTGGCAGCTTCTCCTCCTCCCACCAGTGAACTGGTGTTGTCATGGAAACGGAGACATTCGTCTCCATGGAAACAGGATCATTCTTGTCGCCAGAGACAGCTGGAGAGCGGGATGCTTAATGCCAAATAAAGAGAAACTATGTCTCAGCTGACCTGCAGTTTCACCACCTGCAGACTTTTACTGTGAAGGAAGAGAAGGACAGAGATCTTTGAGGGTAGCGTCTCCTCCACGCCTCTTTTCTCCACAACTCTTCTGCTTTTGTTTCATTCTTCATTAACAAATGTTTACTTTGTGTGTTTAAGACAATGCATCAGCTGTGATTAAGACCGTCATGTACAGGTTGAACACAATGTCATCACTGACGTTGTACACCAAGGCCACGCCCACCAGGTGGTACAAAGTCCACCAGTCATGATGGATGTGTACACATGGTGCAGCACCAGGAACCAAAAACAAAACTGTAAAAAAGTCTGAAAACAAGACTCTGATGCAAGATAGGTTTAAATGTATACCATCTCCCAGAAAGGTCAAAAGGACCAGCTTGCTCTATCAGTTTAAGTTTTAAACAACATTTTGCTGCTTAAGAATCGGATTGGTTCTTTAGCTCCAGAGCTGCACGTTTGAACAGAAATTCACTAATTCAGGTTGTGAGAGCTGACGCTAAATCATCTCAAAAAACAATTATTAACAGATCTTTTTTTTTACCTTCTAACGACCATAAAAAATTCAGATTCTAGAAATAAAAACTTCAAAATAAAATATCTGTTATTAGTACTTAGCAGTGATGCATTCATGGACCAAAAAAATCTGATGCTTGAGTTTCAGCCTGGCTGAAGACCATCCAGTTTCAGTCATCGGACAACTTTTAGGGCTCATCTCTAAAAAGGTTTGATTTCACAAAGATTCTAAACGTAATAAAAGACAGATTCCTTCCCCCAGAACCCCGCCCAGATAAGCTCCTCTGGCTCATACTGGAGATAACGTTTACTTTGTTTAACCATGAACCATGGAAAACCTTAACCCTAATCCTAGTTTTAACTTTAATCGAAGTAACTGAATAAATCCTGTTAATTCTCGTGTGAGCAGGCCGGAGCTTCACAGGACTGGGATCAGCCTGGTGCAGAACCAGCGTCCCGTAGAGATCATCGAATCTGGTTCCTGGTCAGATTCTGTCTCACTGATCCCTTCTGAGTCCAACAACACTGAATCTATGATGATGTACACATGTTTACCCGTGGCAGCCATGTTGGATGTGTTTCCACTTGGTGGGCGTGTCCAAGTGGTTCCTCATAGACCTGCGATGTTGTAAGACCTGTGCAAGTCGAGCTGTTATTTGTGAAGTTTCACTTCTAGATTTTTATGAGGAGATGTTTTCTAGAGACGAGATGATAAACAGGAAGTAGCTGCCGTCACAAACCATCCACGTCATCGAAGTTTTACGTTATTTACAAAATTTATGTCTCCATAAAACAGGAAGTCAGAAAAAACAACCTGATGTTTAAACCGATCCGTTCTATTGTTCTAAGAATGATTTTAGTTTTATTTATCGTGTAAAGAAACTTCTCTGATACTCAGCTTTGTTTTTATTTTGCACTTCTCGTGGGACTTCTGACAAAGCACAACTTGTAAAGACAAAACTTACTTCTCTAAGCACAAAGCATCTGGCCTGTTTCCACGACGACAGGGATGAATCCGTTTCAGAGATAATCAGAAGAAGTCAGCGTTGCGTTGATCTCGCCACATGGCTCAGCCCCCATGGACACCCCAAACAAACACAAGCAGGAGTTCGACTGTTTTTGCACCAGAAGCGCAAATGTCACCATCAGGAATCCTTTTATCATCCGGAGGTAAGGTTTAGTCTGCAGCAATGTCAGTTCAGATCACAAAAATAATTGTTGAGCATCCATTTTACACTCAGGTTGGCAGAATCAGATTCAAACTTTCAGCACAAACAAACATTTTCAGGAAAACTTGGACAAGTTTCCAGGATCGGTTCTGGTTTTCTGTTTTATGGAGATATTTTACGTCTCTGACGTTCAGAGGATGTGATTGGTAGAATTCTCTCATCAGATCACGTTTGCATGTTTTTGTTTTCAGACATCAGAATTTATTTAGTTTGTAGAATGTGTTTTGTTCTTTAAAACATGAGTTGTCTTTAACAGCAGCGTTTAAAGTCCCTGAACTCAGCACAGACTCGGCATGATCCCACTTTGGTCCCAGACTGTGAAACAACTGTAACTGATTCCAGGTCAGTTTCAGTGAATCAGCCATATTTAATGTCCTGTCCTCCTCTTTCAGAATCAGAAGGTCCGTTTTATTCCTGCTCATCCTCAGAGTTTAGCTCAGGTGTGAGCTACCTGGTCTGTTTGGATCTGAGTTATCCGGCTGCTTCCCTCTGACTCGGAGCTTTATGTGGCCTCGGGAATAATTTAACCATCAGCTACATGGCAGCTGGTCCAAATTTAGCACTCAAAACAAAACTGAAGCTCAGCAGAACACCAGGAATGTTCTGGGTCTAAATGGATCAGAACCAATGAAACAGAAATTCTTGAAAACTACTTTTGTGTGTTTATGAAAAAATATTTAAATGAGCAGCGATGGTTTCAGTCCGAAGGTGCTGTGCAGACCTGGATCTGGATTAAAACAGCATCCAGAAGTCCTAACCCTGGACCATCAGGTTCTGATTACTCCGGACGCCTCCAGCATCTGTTCAGATCTGATCTGAGTTCAGGAACCTTTCTTCCCAACTTGAGTTTAAATGTTCTGATTCTGCTGTGAAAAGCCCAGATGGGCTGCTGGTGCCAAACTCTGCCATTTGGGTTTTTAAGGATCCATAGTTCAGCTTTTATTATGACCCGGACTCACGGTGACACTGACTGGTTGGGTGATTGAGTCCAGAACTCGGTTCCACCTCCAGCAGAACCCTGGAGCTGCGGGACCTGGTGTGTTGGATTATTTGTGAGAACTTTGAGGACTGAAGCGGTTCAGGATCTAAACGGACCTCTATAACCGGTGCATGTTTACAGTATTTATTGCAGAAGCAGGCTGGAGCGGTGTACATGCAAACGTGGCATTTGTGGGAAGATCTTACTCGGGTTTGGAACCTCTCATGGGTTCTCCCTGGAAGGCATTCTCCACAACCTTCTGCTTGTTGGATGATTTAAACGCGTTGCCTTCGTCTCGTTTGACCTTTCACCTCCTAGATGTAGCATGCCTCTTTACTAACCACATTATGCAAAATCCGAGCTGCTCGCCTCGGTAGGAATGTTCTGATCATTGTGGTTCTGGTTCTGTCTGGGTTTTGCTTGCGCTACCTCTGAGTTTCCTGTGATTTTGACTGTTAAAGCTTTCACTGCTGACGTGTTCACCGCTCACCACCACAGTCGTCTTGTTTCTGACTCAACTGGCAGAACCTGTGGACTTGGGAAAACCCGGTTCCAGTTTTGTCCTAGCAAGAAAAATGTTTACTGAGCTTCCAGCTGTTTTCAGTCTGACTGAAGAAGGTTGCTGTTAAGGTCTGAAATCACCTGTTCTACAGAAAAGCCCAGAAGCACGGACTCCTGAAACCAGCAGAAACCACTGAACCAAGAGCCAGACAGAAACAATTCATAAGACGAGGAAGGCTGTAGCTGAGATCTTAAAAGCCTCAACAGTTATGGCAACCCCCGAGAGTCACTTTCTGAGGAGTTTTTTAAAGTCACCATGACAACTAGAATATGAGAGCAACAAAAGGCCTCGCGTTCTAGGCCTGTTTTAAGACATTTGTTGTTTTAATTTATTTATTAGCGTTTAATCTGAATTTTGCTGCCTGAGTTTTCTGAAAGTCCAGCCAGAATCTTAACTGAACTTAAACTTTAAGACAAAATGTCCAAAACTGAAGAATAAATTAAAGAAAAACTCCCATTAAACTTTTGGACTGTCTATTTTTAGGACTCTGCTCCCTAGTGTTCACATGAGGAAGTGCATTTCCACTCGGACTAAAGGCCCAAATCCCTTTTCTGTTGGAAACAGACTATTTGGTTCTGACTAGACCTTAACGGGACCTCTGTGTGAATGTCACAGATTAATTATAAAATCTCCTAATTTTGTCTCATTTTATTCATCCTTTCATCTCGCTCAGATTTCTCCATTCCTGCACCCAGCCAGACCCAAACCCAGTGTCTCACCGAGTCGGGACCGCTTGTGATGATCAGTATATGAGGGCATTCCCAAAGTGTCTTTAAACGTGTTGGGGCTTCGCTCGCACTGGGATCCTAAAGAGGTTCCATAAATTCACGAGACACGTGTCTTCTCAGAGTATGGTCAGAGTCATTGTGGGGGTCTGGACTTTAGCTTCTGAGGGTCAGAGATGTGAGACGACAGCGGAAGGAGTTGGAGATCAGATTGTGAATGAACTGAGACATTTTTATGGTTCATTAGTCACCGCTCTTTTATGGCATCAGCACTTTTACTGAAGTGTAGAATCAGTGAGATTCTGGATTAGTTTAATCAGTTTGTGGACCTTTAAAAACAGAAATCTGAATTCTGCAGACAACCTGAGCCCGAGCAGGCAGCAGAGATTATTTTCATGATGATGATAATCTGTACATTCTGTGAAGCACCAGCTGACAGCGTTGGCTGTAAACGTGTTTTATTTAACTACATTATGTTTAAAATGTTGATTGGTACTTTTTAAACTCCGACAGAAATCTGACAGTTTTATCAGAACTAATCTCGGCTCTGTAAATTAAACAGAAATCAGATTAAGAATTGAATCAAATCCAAGAGAACACTATGGGCTCAGGTGAGCAGGTGTGATGAAATGTTGATTATTACCTGAAAATATGACTAATTCAATTTGAAAATTAAAGATTTTTTATCATCTGGGGCTTGTTTGTAGGAACAGACTCTAACGTGTAAAACGTTCTGATAGTTGAGCCCGGTTCTGGTCCAGTTCTGTCTCAGACTGTGTTTTGTATTTAATCAGCTGCTTGTGTCAGTATACTCTGCTTCTCCTCCAGCAGCGAGCAGCGTGAACTCTGTGCCTGTGCATGCCTGAAAGGGAACGTTGGACTCACTGCTGCTGATGGTTTGATCCCATCTGAGAGGAATAAATCTGTTAAAACCTCCTGAGGGTCTCCTGAGTCTCTCTGACACGTAAACGCTCCGACAGCGGATGCATCAGAGCTAAGGTGCGTGACCCTGTGATGGACTGCTGTAGACCCACCTCTTCACCAAAGACCACCGGAGGTAGGATCCAGCTCCCTGCGACCCTGAAAAGGAACAATCAGGTGAAGAAGAATGAAACTATTCTGTTTTTAGGAAATAAGATTCTGTTCATGACAGAGAAAGGGAAGTCTGTTTAAAATCCGCCCGACTCCCATCAGCCACCTGGAGACAAGGAAACACTAAAAGCTTTAAAAGGATGTTTCATCCAGTCTGACGTGTCTTTCTGTGTGAAACTTATAAATCATTTCTTTCCTATCCTTCGCAGCTTTGGCTCAGTAAAATCTTCAGGGTTGATGGGCTAATGGCTAGTCTGAGTGCAGCCCATCCAAAGTGTTTTGCTTCTTTGGGTTTAGTGACGTTATTGTTCAAACCACCACTGCACCAGGCAGTGTTTTACATGGACGCCTGTGGTTATTTCTCTTGATTTCTTTTATTTTCATGTAATTTTGTTATTTACAAGCAAACGCCGGCGGCAGCAGAAAGTAACTCTTCATCCAGGACTCGAGTGCAGAAGGAAATAACCTGTAATGTGAAACAGACGGCAGGATAACGCTACAGGGATGCAGGGAAGTACAGGAGCCACAGCACACACCGTATAGATCTAATCTGTAATACTGAGGAAAACTGTCTTGTTCAAACTTGCTTTTATTTGTTATTTCATGACGGGAACGGATCGGAGAGAACAGAAGCAATGTAAGAAAGGGTGTCTCTGCTGCTTCTACTTCATCCTGTTTCTAGGCCAAGTGAGTTGGTTGTCATGGTAATTGTTGGCAAGGGAGCAAAGATGAGGATGGGGTGGGAGTGGTCATACCTCCCGTCTCCATCACAGTAGGAATTTGAATTTTAAATGTTTCTAAATTATTAAGAGGCTGGGGTAGGGAGGGGAGGGGTGGGAGGCTGCATGAAGCAGCAGAGAGGAGGGACAGCAGTAAGCACCGTAGGCCCAAACAGCACGAACCAGCTACTGCATCTCATTCAGGACATGTGTACATGTCAGAACTGGTTTCTGGTATTAGCAGAATAAAGAAGGGAAGGTACCAGCAGAGAGGAAGCAGAAACAAGTGGACCCCCGAAGCAGAAACGAACATCCTGCTCACACAGCAGCTGTCAAGTCTCTTCACACACGTCCACATTTCAACTGGATCCGCAGTTTTTCACTGGCCAGCACTACGGGCCTGGGGATGTGAAGAACCATTTGTGTACGTTTATAATATTATGTTTATGTTTATTTATTTAGCAGACGCTTTTATCCAAAGCGACTTACAATTTATAACCTATAGGGCATGTTGTGATCTGTGGGGGAAACCGGAGTACCCGGAGGAAACCCACGCATGCATGGAGAGAACACGCAACTCCACGCAGAAAGGCTGCAGCCGAGTTTCGAACCTGCAACCTTCGTGCTGCGAGGCAACAGTGCTAACCACTGCGCCACCATGCAGCTGGTTGCCATCAGCACCTGGTGTTAGCTCGTATTCCACAACAGGGCATGCTTTTATGTCAACTTTGGAAAGTTTTTTCATCTAATTATTGTGTTTAAGTGTGTGGATGGAAGGAGTCATGTGATAAAGGTAACATATGTTAGTCTAGACCTGGATTAGGGCCCAAGGAGCTAAGAGTTTCATTTAGGACGTCTATCATTGCTATTACAAGCCTCTGATCTAATGAAAGCTTTATGCTAACGTTTCCCAGACTTTTATACGTCAGACTTGTGGAAGCTGAACCACTGGAACCGACCCCAGTAGGACTAGCCGTTACCGCGTCTATCCAGGCTGAATTCATCCTCGTTTCTCCACACTAAGGCCGTTCATGAATCTACTACAGGAAGCATGTTCATTACCACAGTTATACTTTCACAAGTGTTTCTGAGTAAACGGAGCATGTTTCTATACTTTATAATTATTAATATTTATGTCGTTTTAATTTATTTTATAAACTCAAACTAAAATCAACATAAACTTCCTCAGTTACCTGAAACCAAGTTTATTCATTAGCCTTAAAACTTAGGCTGGTTTCTAGTAACTTTCTCTTTGATGCCTTCAAATCAAACAAGGTGATGCAACGGACAACTGCAGCAGGAATAAAGTCCGGTTTGAGGCCAGATGAGCCTCCTATGTAGCAGCTGACTGATGTCCAGGTTCTACCAGGACACCCAAACAAGATCAGACAGGTGGAGAGAATCACTGCCAGCTGGAAGATTCATTAACTCGCCCTGATTGGATCAGTTGATCGATAGATTGAGTTAAAATGGAGCCACCTCTCCTGCATCATCCTGGTCCAGCTGCCAGTCCATCCTGATGTCCTCTGAGATAAAAGGTCCAGTTCTAATGGTAGGATGGGTAGGAACCCAGAACCGCTGCAGCAGCAGTTCATGTCATCAAGATTTTAACGTTTGAAATTTGGTCGGCAAGAACAAAAAGTTTAAGGTTTCCACAAAGTTTTGATTTAACTAAATATTTACTGAGTTTAGTTTTAAACTGCAAGAAACTTTATACACTACACACACACACACACACACACATATACATATACATATATATATATATGTACATGTATATATATATATATATATATATATATATATATATATATATATATATATATATATATATATATATATATATATATATATATATATATATATATATATATATATATATGTGCAGAGACCCTACCCCTAACCAAGCTGAAAGCAGAGAACATAAATAATAATAAACTACCAATGAGAACGCTGGATATTTATTTATATGTGCTGATATTAGCAGCAGGCATGTGTGGCTGAACTAGGATTTAATGATAGCTAACTAGCTGATGGATCACTCTCGAGCGTGAGAGGGTTCAGCATCCACCTCTGTGGACCTAAAGCATCATCTCTGACCTTTAACCCATTTCCAAGTTCTGCAGACCCTCAACATAAAGCTTTCCCCGTTGAATAAAAACAGAATAAAGACGCAGAAACTCTGTTTATTTCTCCACGATGTGAGAAGACAGTTATCGAACTTTGAGGCAGAACTTTGGATCAAACTAGAACTGGATTCAGCTCTTCTGGATTCTGAACGTAAACAGGAGGAAGCATCTTTGGCGGTCAGAAGAGGAGGAGTCTGGCGTACGGAAACAGGAATCCTGACTTTCCATCTGGAAAACAAAAAAACAGAGTCGACCAGTTTAAAAACGAACGCAGGAGAGTTCATGTCTCAGAGCTCAGTGAACCACGGCAGACAGCTGCTCATACCGAGCCAGGGTCCTCTGGAGGTTTCTTCCCGTTAAAGGAGAGTTTTCCTCTCCACTGTCATTACATGCTTGCTTAGTATGAGGATTGCTGTAGAGACTGACAGGTCAGTGACTCGATGCGACCTGCTGGGTTTCCTCAGACAGAAAGCTTAACCAACTGGAACAATGCACTGGAACGTTTACTTTGTAAAGAGCCTTCAGATGACCTGTTGCTTCATAAATAAACTGAAATTTTATCTGATTAAATAAAAGCTTTTAATGTGAAACTGATGAGTTTCCTAACAAACTTTATTATTCTAACTATGAATAAATAAACGGTCCTGCGGCTCATTAAACATCTTAAAAGTTTCTGAGACACGTGTGTGTGTGTGTGTGTGTGTGCGTGTGTGTTTCCATTACTTCAGACAGCTGATGACTAAGGGTCCTACTTCAGCGTCACTCCTGCTCCTCACTGGGCCTGGCCCGGCAGCGCCCCCAGGAGGCCGTTGGCGGTGGTGAACAGGTTGATGGGAGAAGATCCATCGGTGATGAGAGTGGACTTCAGTCCCAGAGCCTGTAGCATCTTCAGCTGCATCAGAACCAACAGATGACTCGGTTACAGCAGCAACAGGAACTCGTAGCATCAAGATGTTCTGTTCAGTCAGGAGCGACTAGGACCTGAAAACCCAAACGTACCTGTAGCTCCGGCCCAGCTCTGGCAATCTCCATCAGTGTGTCTGTGCCCAAACTCTCCATCTGCTTCTTAAAACGATCACTCTCAATCTGGGCCAGGCGCTCCTGTTTCTCCACCTCCAGACGGTCCAGCTCCCTTTTGTAGTTCAGCTCCTGATCACGGGCCTTGGACAACCTCTGGAGCTCTGCTTCCTGGGGGGGGGGGGGAATTGGGTCATGAGTCTGAAAATGCTGGTGCCTCCTACGCAGTACAGGAAGTTCTACTCTGAGGAGGTAGTGGAACCTACCGCCTCGATCCGCTGGGCCTCAGCCTTCAGCGTGGCCTCGTTGACAGCCGCCTCTCCTCGAATCCGGGCTGCCTCTGCCTGAGACTGGGCCTCGGCTTTAGCAGCTCCCGTACTCTCCACCGAGGCACTGAAGTACAGGATGGATCAGAACCAGATGGGTTCTACTAAACTGATTGTGTCAAGGGACCCTCTAGACCAACCTGAGCGCCTCCAACTCCAGCAGCTCCTTCCGGGCCCTCTCTGCTTCCGCCTGGTCTGTGATCCTCTGGCGCTCTAGTTTGCCCCGGGCCTCCTGCTCCAGACGTTCTGCCTCGTGTCTGCAGAACAAACAGAACTTCATGAATCTGTGCAATTCCGTGGCTCCAACAGAATCTGAGCAGTGTGTGCTTCAGACCGGGCCGCAGCCTCCTGGGAGTTGGTGGTGATCTCGATGGCGAGCTGGACACTCTTCTGCAGGGCGTCTCTGGTCCTCTGGTCCACCGGCTCTACAGACTGGATGTCCACGCTGCTGATCACCAGGTTGTTCTGACCGAAACGCAGATCGGGACGGACCGCCAGCTTCTCATCAAAGCCGAACACGGCCGAGCAGATGATCCGGTTTGAGTTCTGAGCACCAAGTCAAAGTTGGAAAAGTTCTGATTCGTTAGGTCCCAGATCAGGTCGGGTCAGGCAGTTCCAGAGAAATCTGACTCAGACAAGCTACCCCAAAGTAGAGTTCATCATTCACGCCTGATCTGACATTTATGCTTCCCAGTAGGGCTGCAACAACGAATCGATAAATTCGATGAAAATCGATTACTAAAAGCGTTGGCAACAAATTGTGTCATCGATTCGTTGTGTTGCACAACTCTTCCAACCCCCCGGCCGCCGTTGCGCACAGACCGGAAGCAAGTCAGATCAGCGCGAGGGACTAGCCGGCAGAAGCAGCGAGACCCAAAGAAGTAAAAACTTCTAAAGTTTGGGAGCATTTTCAGTTAAATCAGGCGAAGACATTCGTTACCTGCAACGTTTGTAGGTCAGACTTAGCATGGCACGGGAGTACTACGGTGATGATGCGAATCATCAGCGAGGAGGGAGAGAGCTCGGTGTCCGGGTAAGTTAAAAACTTTTCAAAAGTGATTCACCCAAGCCCCGGATTATTACACAGGCTGGACATGCCCTAAGCTCGTAAAAAAAAAGTCTATAAAATTGTAAGCGCTACGCTATTAGATAAACGGGGGGGGGGGGGGGGGGGGGGGACTCGCGCCGCTGCGAACCGGTTCCGCCGTCACATTTCCACAGAAACTGGTTAATCACACTGGGGCCAGACTACTAGCATGTGGTTTTACAACCACAATGACCTCGGAAGCGAAAACGCTTTTAAAAGGGAGGGAGGAGTCCTAACTGTTGCTGCAGGCGTGTTGTGTGAGAGTGCAGTTATATACTGGTTAATATATTTTTGGGTTCAGTTGCTTTCATGTGGCCTAATGTGAGTCTATTTGGGATCATTGGAATGATCAGCAGCATTTCTTGATGTGACTTTATGGCAGTTGCCCAGGGCATCATCACAAGGAGGGCGGCATTCATTTACTTTTGTTTTATTTGGTATTTTTTCAGTCATTTTTGGAAATAGTGATCAATTTTGATTAATTCACAGCCTATGTTTAATTACATTTAAAAATTAGTTGTTTGACATCCCCAGTTATAATAAATGTCTACAGATGAGATCAAACAAAACAGATGAGAATTGCCCTTAAAGAGCAAGTCACCCCCAAATAAACTTTTTTTTGCTGATAAACTAAATAAACGAGTGTCTAATCATGCTGCAGACACATGTCGTCAATAATTTGGCACTTCAGTGCATCTTAGTTAAAATTTAAATATTCTGCCTAAAACTGGCAGTGTTGTGCCGTTGTCAGGTAAAAACTCTGCACTGTATTTTAATTTAAATCTGCCACCGCTATTGTCTAACAAGTATGCTATGATGTAAACTGGTACATTATGATGTCACAATGCTGTCGTGAGCCTGAGTGTGTGTGTATTTGTTAGCGGCTCCGCCCTCTCGGTCTGCCAGGCAACAGCATGTGTTGCATTTATCAAACATGAAGTGGGAGTGGAGTTAGACTCTGGTAGGGGTTGACTTGCTCTTTAAGCTGTTTAACTTGGACCAAGCATTTTAGGTCACAGATAGGTGTAGCTTAGGGTCTCTGTTAATACACCTTATAAGACAATTTAGGTGATGGCATGTTGTTTTTCTGCTATTGAACTGTTTTCTAATAATGTTGTGTTTAATAAAGTGAAGGAAGGAGAGAAATAACGTTTCCCTAGCAGTTTTTAAAAATGTCCCTATGTAGTCCGATTAATCGATTAATCGTGTCGAGACCCCATCCAATTCATCGATTATCCAAATAATCGTTTGTTGCAGCCCTACTTCCCAGTAAACAAACATTTCACCTCAGACCCCAGCTCGGACTCTGAATGAGGTCAGAAATGCATTTAATGCAGAAGAAAACATGAAAGAACCCGACACTAAACCCAGGTTCTGACCCAAACGGACCTTATGGAAGTCATCAAACTGCACAGAGGCGACAGCTCCTCTGATCCGCGAGGCGATGGCTTTACAGGCATCTCCAACAAAGTCCGGTACTGAAAACAGAGCTGCTGCCGCAGCCGGGTCGGCGGGGATCTTCACGTCAAAGTGCCTGAATGGAACGAAGAGGAAGAGTTGGACGGGAAGCTAATGCTGGTTGAGCTAACTGGTTCTGGTATTTATTGAGATATTAAAACATGTAATGGGATATGTTTGTGAGCGCTGGTCCAGAACCAGAGCAGGGTACCAGTTGTAGGCGAGCTGCAGCTGCAGGCGGGCGTGGTCAGCGGTCTCTATGGTGATGATGTCGGTGCAGAAGTCGGGTCCCAGCAGGAGGCAGATGGCCTTGATGACGTTGGCTCTCTTAGGTTTGTCGCCGGACAGAGACAGGACGGTGAACTGCTCATCTGGTCCCAACATCACCAGCTCAGGTCCAAACACCACCCTGTAGGTCAACACAGGAACCATTAGCCAACCCTCAGCCATCACCAGCCCCACGGTGTCACGTCTACCTGGCCTTCTTCTCTCTGTAGTCGTAAATCTGCACAGCGGCGTTGTGGGGGACCCTGAAGGTCACCACCCGGGTCTTGTCCCTCGGCTGGCCATCTCCACCCCCGTGGCGGATGGAGCGATCCGCCAGCGGGTCGGAGCGAGACGCCAGCAGAGCCTCAACGTTTGTCGGAAGCTCCTTCTCCCAAAGCTCCTCGTCCTGGTTCAGCATGTACGTGTGTCCGATCACGGCACGCACCTGAGATCAGAAGGAAGGGATAAAAACTCAAATCCAGAATAATCCTACGGTCCTGAAGAACGAGTACTTCTGCTGGCCCAAACTAAACGCTCTGACTTCGGTCGCTACCTTTCCGGTCTTGATGTGTCGGACATAGATTCCCTCGTTCTCATCCAGGGGGATGGCACGCTGCGTCAGCACCACCTCCACGCTGGCAGGGGGGACGTACTCAATGGGCCCCCGCAGCATCCATCGGTCTCCAGGGCGACGGAGGACGCTGCCCCGCTTAGCTCGCTTGGAGCGCCCCTCCTCTTCAGGATCCTCCTCCTCCTCTTCTTCTTCAGGCTGACAAACAGAGCGGGAGAGACGGGGGAGGATGGAGAGAAGGGTTAACATGTAGATGCAGTGGAGTGGGGGAGGGATGGGTGGAGGAGAAGGGGGAAGCAGGATGGGAGGGGGGCACTGAATCAAAAGGCACCAAAGACCAGAAAAGAAAAACAAAAATAGCAAAAATAAATGTTTGATGATAAAAGTGTCAGAAAGGAGGAGAAGAGAAGAGGGATATCAAAGTAATGTGATTACTGATGTTAGTAATCTGATTAGTTCTGGATGCCTGGGCATCCACAGCAGATTACAGCTCAACTCTGCCACCTGCTGGTGTGAGCTGGTTACTGACCTAGACACCACCGATCCACAGGTTAGGATCTTACCCATGAATAAAGACAAGTCTCTTTCATCCAATCAGAACTGTCCTACATGCCTCTGCCTCCCTGGTTAGAAAGCATCACATTAAGATGTTTGTGTCATGTGACCTTATTTAGACTCACCTTAAAAGGTAAATTAGTAGAACATCCCTTAATGTGAACCTCTCAGCTGAAATGAGTCCTCGTGTGGAAAATTAATCTTACCAACAAACACATGAATGACCTGCTGTAGAACATCTGCTAAGGGCCTTTTATGATAGGACAGCTTTCCATACCTGCAGCAGTCTTTAGCTGCTTCAGCAGAACCAACCTTTCCTCCGCTCATCACAGACCAAACATCTCAAAGCTCCTGGAAGCTACACACAGCTTACTCTGTAGTGGGTGCATCTTGTCCCTGATGGCTGGCTAATGAAGAACGACATGTCCATGAAGCTGTTAGCAACACGCGGCTAAACTGAACGAGCTAATGTTTACATCCTATAACATCTATGATATACCTGAATGACTCTTACCATCTAGAGTAAACATCTCAGATACCCGACACGTTCCTGCAGTAAGAACGTTCTCATGGACATCTGGAATGTTCTTTTCTACTAGGAACAACAACCCAACTTTACGTTTATATTCTGAGTTATCATTAATTATTATTTCTATAGTAACTATGTAGCTGTTGATGTCTTCATTCTAACAAGTACACAAGTACTAGGATAAGTCATTACTTCTATATGAAATAGGAATTACAGAGGTCCGACTGTTGATTAAATTTTAAAACATCTTGCCATAAGGCTGGGATCCTCTTACCTGTCCTGCTCTCACTCATCTCCTCACCTTTCTGAAGCACCGTTTACTTTTCTGTCCTCCTCTTTCACAGATTTGTCCCCACTAATATTTACAGATCCATCATGTTTAATGTAATAGTTGTCCTTGGCATTAAGCATGCCCCCCCCTGCTTTCAGATCGGAGGTACGTGTGTGTGTGTGTGTGTGACACACACACACGGCGCTGTGTGTTCGATCATGTTGCCGTTTGAGCAGCAAACAAGTTTAAGAGATTACAGTCTGGCTGCTAGGGAGGGGACGGGTTTGCACAACGCTGGTAGAAACGTTCCGACTAGATGGCCTGCCACCTCGCCCCGTGGCGAAACCTGCACTCCTTTTCCAGGAACCCTTTGAAATGAGCTGAATCCCAACAATCTTAGGTGTGGCTTCGACCTTTCACCCTTTGACCTCACTCCTGTGCTCACACACCTGCAGGGAGCAGCAGCCACCGTTGAGGCAGCACGCCTTATAACCACACACAGGCTGCTACTCTAATCTCCCCTGATGAACTGGTTCCAGTAAACCTCCAAGTCCACAAAACCAAATCCATCAGAGCCGCTCGGGGAAAGAACCGAGCCTGGATGAAGTCCTGGAAAGGCTCTAAATGTTGGGTTATCGAGTCTCTACATGTCCCTCAGAAGCACCCGTACAATTGTTTTAAAGAATAAAATAAAATAAAATCAACAGAACCGCAGGGTGGTTGTTCTTGACTAGGAACCAACATCAGGAGTTCTGCTGTGAACGTCTCCTCACCTCGGAGTCGTTAAATGCCTCCACAGCCCGTAGAACCAGACCCTCCTCCTCCGAGAGCACGTACACATCCTGGATGCCGTTCTCAAGCTGCTCACCAGGCTGTAGGAAGAACGAGCGCTCTCCCTGGGGGAGGAGTGGAGGAACAAATGTTTGGAACATTTAGATGAACATTCACTGAATCTACAAGGGACAAAGCGTGAACCGACTCCTCACCTTCACCACCTTCTTCTGGCCCAGCTGAGGCTTGCCATCTGCCCCGACCGGGTCCAGGATCACGCAGTACTGCCGGCTGCTCAGGGTGGTTACATCCACAACCCCAACCACCTCCTCAGCCACAGAAGGGATGTGGGCCTCCCTGTCGGCCATGGTCACCAGCCACTCCTCCCCTGTGCGCCGCTCGCGCCCGCCGGCATCCTTAAAGGGGCGCAGGGCACGCACATGCAGAGCTTTCTGGAAGCATGAACAGATGCAGCGTGAGACCAGCACCAGCACAGACCAGTAAGCATCCCAGTTCAGCTGCAAAAAGTCTGAGAAAACCAGAAAATTATAAATATGAATAAAGCAACGTCAGCCAACCACTTTTAATAAAACTCCTAAAAAATGAGATTTTCTGTTTGGAGCCTTTAAACAAATGTGGGATTTCCTTCTGCTCTACAGCTGAAACAGTGGAAACTCTGCTGGATCATCTTGCACCTCGCTCTCGTTGTGCTTCAGCTCCGAGACGAAACTCAACTCAAAGCAATAAATACTAATAAATGTGCGTCAGGCAGCACCGAGGCAGCATGTAGTTCCTGCAGGACGTCTGAAGCCTTTAGGTGATCAGACATGCTGCTGAATGTTCTCAGTCATCAAGGTCATGCTAATCCAGAAGGGGTTCAAACGAACGACTTCTTTGGCTTCTCAGGTCCCTCGTGTGATCCCGTTTGGGTTGGAACAATGAGAGTGAACGTTGGTGTTCTTCATGTTTCGGCTGTGGTCTTCATCAGAAGTGTCACAGATGTTTGTCTTTATAATAATAATAATAATAATAATAATAATAATAATAATGCATTGAACTTATACAGCGCTTTTCTAGACACCCAAAGACGCTTTCACACACTCTCACATTCACACACTGCTAGTGATGGTAAGCTACTTGTAGCCACAGCCGCCCTGGGGAGGTCTGACAGAGGCGAGGCTGCCATTTGGCGCCGTCGGCCCCTCTGACCACCACCAACACAGGCAAGTTGGGTGAAGTGTCTTGCCCAAGGACACAACAGCAGGATACCCCTGGCAGAAGCAGGACTCGAACCCATGACCCTCCGATCATGAGGCAACCCGCTCTACCACCTGAGCTACTGCAGCTTTTCTGTTGGCCGGTCTAAACGCGTCTAGGTAAACCCACAACACACCCGTACATGTCCCAATATAAAAATAAAGAACCTCATTAAAAATGCAATAAGAGGACGTAAGGAAGGTTGTAAATGATTTAAATCAGTTTTATGGACGGCCGGTCACCTTGTCCGTCAGGATGAAGGCGTTGACAATATCCAGGACCTCCTCGTGAGCACCTGGCAGGTACGCTCCCACCTTACTGACAAGCCACTCCTCACCTGAATGACACACAGGGACATGATTATGAAACACTTCAAGTTCAGATGGATGATCCTGAAGTTCAAAAGACTGGACGGGTGCCACCGGTTACCGTGGAGACGGGTGTTACCAAGAGCATCAGTTTAAATTGCTGGGACAATAAACATAAACCTGAGTGAGGCTTGGAGATTGCTGCTGGGGACAACTATTAATTATTTATATGAGCTTGGCGGGCCGCCAGGCTAAGCGGATGTGTTGGATGTAGTTTTTTAAGGTGAGCTAGAACACCACGACTGAAACAGGTAGAGGTCTGCTGCTTCTGCCGGGAGCAGAAGTAGGTGATAGACTCTTACTGCAGCAGGAGTTTTACGCGGTCAGACTAAACTTGTCAGCTAAAACTATCGATGTGAACAAGTTCCCTGCATTCGCCGGCCGTGCAGACAGCTGTTACCTGTGACTCTCTGGACACCTCCTCTGTCTTTGCCCTCCTTGCGAGCTCGGAGCCTGATGGCCTGGTTCTCCCGGATCACGGTGGCCTTGATGGTTTCCAGAACCACCACCTCCTTCCTGGGTATGTAGGTTCCTGAAACAAAAACCCAACTAGAACCGGAGCAAAACCAGAACCAGGAACAGGTCCGCTTCATTTAGCTCTTCTGTCTGACTCAGTTTCAGGTCTGATCCTGGTACACAAACTTCCTGTTTGTCCCTTTGAAGGCAACAAATCCTGTTTTAACTGGAACTAAATTTGGGATTTTTATTAAAAACAAACAATAAAAATCACTGAGAAAAAAGACAGAAACGTTAACGTGTGTTTTATGCTTTAAAGGTTTGTGAGTACATTTGGAAAACAGAGTGAACTGGGAACAGAGATCCTTGTGTTGGTGTAAAACTGAACAGGGCTTGAACTCTGACGTGGTTCCTGTAACCCAACAGCACCACTTGTGGACCTGATGAGTCCAGACTAGACTGACCTGGTCCCTCAAACAGCCACTCGTCTCCAGCAATCCTCTTCAGACCCTCCTCCTCGAAGTCCAGCAGCGCCTGCAGACGCAGCGCCGTGTCCGGATAAACGATCTGCAGCGGCGTCACATCCTGGAAATAACCCAAGCATTACATCAGCACCAGACCGGACCGGGCGAGCCAGTTGGACAGCCACATACACACCATCTGAATCTCCTCTCCAGGGTAGAGAGGAAATGGGTCCTGGGTCAGACGGATCTCCAGGTCGGCATGGCGCAGCTTGGCCTGGCCCGATTGGTCAAAGAGGACCTCGTTGTTGTCGTCACGGGCAACGGGGTTGGACACCACACAGTAGTGACGAGGTGGAACCACGATCATCCGAACAGGAGAGAAGAGAACTCTGGGAGGAGACATGCGGTTCTGGTTCTGGTGTCATGTGAGAAGCTGGAACCGTGTTTTCAGGACCAAAGCTAGAACTGACCTCTCGTTGTCCTGCCGGATGTAGGTGAGAGGTCCGATCTCCACACGGGCGATGTTGGTGTTCTGGTCCAGAACATGGATGTAGTGATGAGGCGGGATCCGGATGATGGACACGTCCGTTGAAATCTCATTGTTGGGTCCACGGTTTCCTCCAAACATGGACATGTTGAGATGCTGGAGACAGAAAAACGTAACTGAACCAAAACATCCAAACAAGAGATGTTCTGATCCAGTCTCGAGACCAGATCAGAACATCAGTGAATCAGGAATTGTTTCTGTTGTGTTTATTAAAGCGTTCATCTTCCGATTGTTAAAGCAACTTGGAACCAGCTGACCCAGTCCGATCAGAGGTGTGTCAGTAAACCGGAAACACAGCCGCCTACAGTTTTAGACACGCTGCATTCCTGCTGGAGAAAAAAATCTCTAAACTTACATTTTTATTTTTGACGTCAGCTTGCAGATTTTAAACTCAAGTCAAACAGGAGAAGAAGCAGATCAACAACTCGTGATGACTGAGTGAAGCAACTACTTAGACAAAGCAAGCAGAGAATCTCAGTCCCAGTGGCGCACCCACTACACACGCACACGTTTATCTCTGGACCAGAGTTCATGTCTGTTGAACAATGGCTGACCTGGGATCAGTAAAGAATGAGCCAGTAGAACCTCAATCCTATTGGTTTATCAATCACTCAGACACAAAACAACTGGAGGGTGAACCCTGGGGGAGCCTCACCTCGCTACAGTCACCTGGACAAGAATCTTAAGTGAGAGCCCTCAGCAGAAATTCAGCTGAGTGCGTGCGTGTGTGTGTGTGTGTGTGTGTGTGTGTGTGTGTGTGTGTGCGCGCGCGCACGCGCGCGAATGCAATTAATACAGTCCGTCCCAGCACCCTCTTTTCTTTAATTCATTTTTCATTTATTGACATTAAAATAAAAATACAGAAAAAATTACTACAAGCTAAAATGAAAAAGGGGACACAAAGAAGACAAACTCATGTTATCTGCCCCTTTTAACTAAAATAACATTCATACAAAAAAATTTAACAATATAGTTCCTGGACTGGTTGGCCCACACAATCTCTACCCATAAGAGAAGACGAGTTACACAGAGAGAAGCATGAAGTTATAGACCTCTATACATACATATGTACACATATGAATACATATGTGTACCTATGTATTCATATGTACACATATGAATACATAGACTTTTATCCTTTTCTTCGTTCATCCCCCCTCCCCTCACACATTTATGTAACAGCTCTATATAAGTTAATCATTTCATTTTTTTATCTCTTTTTTTTTTGAAAGTCAATATTGTTTTTGCATTCTTGATTTCAGTATTTAATTTATTCCACAATTTAACTCCATATATGGACACAATGTTCCTTTATGAGTATCCTTATGTCTAGGTATGTTAAATAATTCATGTCCTTTTAAATCATATTTGCTATGTGTTTACTCATCGCGCGCACAGAGCCTTTTACAACACCTAAGGCCTTTGAGGAACCTCTCGAAGAAAACAGCTTTTCTAACCAATCTCCGATCCTGAAATAAATAAAACTTCGCTTACAGTCGCGACTACACGGATAACGCTGTTTTATCGTTGATTCTGGAGGGTTTGAATTAAAACTTCTGCAAATAAAACACCTAAAGTTTATATTTCTAAAGCAAAAACGTCTTTTAGATTATTTTATTACAACTATTCTAAGATAAACTACTTTAATTCTGCAGAGGTAGCGAGCAGAGCTCCACGGAGCAGCAACGATTTAGGAGAAATGCGGAAGTTCAGCGGAGCAGCAGCAGGTTCTTACCGGGTCTGGAGTTCGGTTCTGGAGGCAGGCTGCAGCTCGGTTCCGCCAAAGAAGATCCGGACTCTGAGCTCGCACTGGTAACTGGCCAGAAAACGAGTTAAAGACCATTCAACATGACCTGGTATCAAGCGGAGGGGCGTGACTGATCCTAACCGATCCTAACCCAGAAAATATGTAGTCACGTGATTTACTGCAAAGCTGCGTCACCGGTCCGGTTAGGTCCGGTCCAGGAGGAATTATTCAGCGTTTATTTTTAAGTCTGATCAAACTCAGCAAAAACCTAAAACACCCCAATTAGAGGCTCAGTAATCATAACTCACAACAGCTAAACTGTCATGGAAACATTTAGCTTTTTGCTTTTAAGATTTAACTTTGACTTTTGTATGAAAAGTTTTGAAAATCCCCAGAATGCTGTACAATAAAAATTTGGTTACAAAGAGGAACGAAAATATTTCAGGTAAAGTTAGAAGAATGAAAAATACAGATAAGAGAAGTTACGGTGTAACTATGGTTCTGTGAGTTCCTGCGTGGATGACTGCCAGTCACAAGGGTCACTCGGAACTTCTCAGGCGAGAAGATCCCGGGAGACCCGAACGTAGCTATCGGCACGTAGTTTATAGACTCGCGACCAGGTGCGCTACGTGTCACGTGCGTGACTTTGTTTACATTGGTACTCGACCTGCGCAGAGCGCGAGGAAATACATCCACTCTGTTTACTGCCACTGGCAGTCATTCAGGAACTCACACCATAGTTACACCGTAACTTCCGTTCAGTTCCATTCCGTAGCTTGGAGACGCTCAGGGACAGCCCCGCAGAAACTGGGTCACCAAATAGTGAGCCCCAACGCTCCTGCCATCCACTAAGAGGTGGTTGGCCGAAATAGCCGCCAGGTGTACCTTAAGGGTCGAGGCAGTCCGGCCCTTGTCAAACAGGTGCCGGAGGTACCGCAGAACCTCATGCAGGGAACAAGAACCAGGGTCCACGTCCCTGCCGGAACACCATGGTAGAGAACCGCTCCATCTGAGACAGGAGGTCCCGCTTCGCCGGCTTCGTTGGCTTCGTCTGAGCCTCCCTCAACGATCGCAATGACCTGGTGCCCCCCGATGGTTTATGTGGAACACCACCGAGGTGCTGTCCATCCAAACGAACATGTGCTTGCCCCACAGAAAGGGCAAGAAGCGCCTCAGCGCCAAGTAGACGGTCTTCAATTCCAGGACATTGATGTGAAGCCGTGCCTGACAGGGGCTCCACAACCCCCGGACTAACCTGCACCGCCAATGCGCCCCCCACCCCTGGGGTGACGCATCCGTCGTGACCACCTCCCGTCTGGCGGGGACCGTGCCAAGCGGGACACTGAGACTCAGGTAGGCGACATCGTCCCAATGATGCAAAGTAGCCACACAGCTGCTCGTGACCTCCAGCTCGACCCTTCGGTGTCGCTGGGCATCCAGGCGGAAGCCGTTGAACCAACTCTGCAAGGGCCGAAGGTGGAGCAGCCCGAGAGGCACCAGTGCAGAAGCCGAGATCAGCATCCCCAACAGTTGTAGCCACACCTGGACCGGGGGTGCTGCCCCAAGGCGAAAGGCCTGGAGCAAAGACCGAATCCGGACCCTCCTCTGCTCGGTCAGCCTCGCCCGCATGGCCACAGAATCTATGGCAATGCCAATAAAATCCAACCGCTGAGTCGGAGCCAGAGAACTCTTCTGCAGGTTGTTACGTTCCCCGGTAGGTTGTGTGAAGTTTATGGTTGTGTTTTACTTTTCATGTCACACAACATGGATCCTCTGAGCCTCTGGGGACAAGGACTCGTTGACTCTGCCAAGGGCTGCAGAGTTCAGGACCAGCAGCCTTGTGTGAACTTTGCCCCAAATGACATCAACGGACAGCTCCGGAGCAGAAGCTGCAGCTGAGGCGGATTGGGACTGATTGCAGTTGCCACATGAGGAGGATAAAACATCGTTGGAACCATTACACGGGGAGCAACTCCTACCCATGGGTTGACTCCACTCCACGCTCCCTTTTCTCTGTTAAATGGTTTAGTCTGCTAACATCTTGAGAAAGTGCTATCTTAAATGAGAGTAAATCTCTACACTTTTCTGGTCCAAACTGTGGAGAGGATTTGTTTTAAACTTGGTGGTATTTTGTTATTAGCTTTAGGATCTTAGCTGTTTTGTTGGTACCAATTAAAGATAATTTGCGGGTAAAGAAATGCCAAATATTTTGTTTGTTTTGTGTGTAAAACTTCCTGGTCCCAGCTGGGTTTTTGTTTTGTTTGTAAATCCTTGTAATTATAATTGAACACAAAGAAAGATAAATTATTATTTTACAACCCGTTTCATTCCCTGATTTTTCCCCATAACTAGAGTCGAGAACGTAATAAAATGGGGGCTCGTTGGTCAGTAGCTTTGGCTGGTGTTTTGCTGACGGTTGCGAGTTGGTACAGTCTCGCTCTCTTTTTTTTCTCGTTATTTTTCTCCGTTTTATGTGCTTCCCTGGGTTGTGACTAATAATTTGTTTTTTTGTGTGTTTCTGTCATGTCTAGTTTTGATTTGGCTGCCTTTCTGCAGGCTCCTTCCCGCGGACAGCTGGACGTGTGTCGTAAGCGAGATCTTTTGGAGGTAGCTGACTACTTCGGTCTCGCTGGTGCTCAGTTGATGCTGAAGATGGATCTGAAGGAGAAGATTGCCTCTGTGTTGGAGGAGCATGAACTGCTGTCTCCATTGGCGGTTTCTAATGTTTTGCCTTTGCGGGCGGGTGGGGGCTGTGTGGACGGAGTGGAGGATGGTGTGGTCGCGGGCAGCGCGGCTGCGGGAGCGACGGTGGAGCAGCTGCCTCCTGACGGAGGTGCGGGTTGACGATCTCCTCCGTTGCCTCTCCCTGGCTCTGATCCGTCTTTTCCTGAGTCGAGATTTGGTTCTCCTGAACATGCCCGGCTGCAGCTGCGATTGGCTCGTCTCATACAGGAGGCTGAGGACAAACAGCGTGACAGAGAATACGAGTTTCGGAAACTGGAACTTGAAGCTGAAACGTCAATAAAACTTAAGCGACTGGAGCTGGAGATGCAGGCCCAGGCGCAGCGCCGATCGTGGAGCCGTCAGCTGGCTTGACGGGTGAGACTGAGAAGCTGGACGTGGGGAAGTGCATGATGCTGATGCCACCGTTCCGTGAGGCCGAAATGGACAGCTACTTTGCCGCGTTTGAGCGCATCGCTGCGGCACTCAGTTGGCCGCGGGAAGTCTGGCCTCTCCTGCTGCAGTGCAAGTTAAGTGGCAAAGCACAAGAGGTTATGGCCTCATTATCGGTTCATGATTGTGCAAACTATGATTGTGTAAAAGACGCTGTGTTGCATGCCTATGAATTGGTCCCCGAAGCATATCGCCAAAAGTTCAGATCTTTAAGAAAAAGGGATGGGGAGCAGACGTTTGTGGAGTTTTCTAGGGACAAAAGTCTATTATTTGATAAATGGGTGATGTCGTCAAAGGTAACAAACTTTGCTGAATTAAGAGAACTCATTTTGCTTGAGGAGTTCAAGCGGTGTCTTCCTGAGAAAACTGTTTTGTACCTAAATGAACAGAAAGTGTCTGCCTTGTCAGCTGCTGCTGTTTTAGCAGACGAGTTTATGCTTACACATCGGGTAAAATGGGAACACAAGGCAAAACCCGAAAGGCACTATGAGGGTAGACCGCGATTATCTGACGTGAAAGACGGGAAAAATCCAGTGAAGTGTTTCTTCTGTCACAAACCGGGTCACATTGTGAAGGATTGTCTGATTTTGAAGTGAGAGAGAGAAAAATCTGAACATGAAGTGGCGTTTGTTTCGGAGACCACGACGGAACATAAGGTCAGAAAACTGTACGACAGTTTTGAACCATTTATTTTTGAGGGCTCGGTAACCCTGGGGGGGAGTAAGTTGGACGCTGTCCCGGTTAAGATTCTGAGGGACACTGGAGCGTCACAGACACTCATTTTGGATAATTTGCTTCCTTTCGATGATACCAGTTTTACTGATGTCTCAGCGCTATTAAGAGGTCTGACTTCGGAAGTGATCTCATGTCCGTTACATTCAGTAGATTTGAGAAGTGACCTTGTGTCGGGAAGATTCAAAATGGCAGTGTGCAAAACTCTGCCAATTTCAGGAGTCCATATTCTGTTGGGGAACGACATTGCAGGTGGCACTGTTGTCCCTACACCGCAAGTGGTTGAAAAGCCTAAGAATTTACCTTGTGTGGTATCCCCCCCCAGGTATTTCTCCTTCCTGTGTAGTTACAAGGTCCTGTACAAAAAGGGATGTTGAAGACTTGTTAGATATTTCTATGCTGTTTGGGGAACCAGAACCCAAACCAGTGTCACATGACGTGCCAACAGGTTTGAAACCTGAGAAAGGAGTATCATTTGGTTCAGTAAATTTGTTGGATCAAAGAAGAATTCCTCGCTCTACTTTAGTGGCTGAGCAGAAGGATGACAAAACTTTAGAAAAGTGTTTTGCTGCTGTGAAGAATGGGGCTGAGAAATCTTCTGGGTTTTATTTGGAGGATGATCTCTTAATGAGGCGCTGGAAAAATCCTTTAGAAAATAAGGCTCCATGGGGTGTTGTGCAACAGATTGTGGTACCTCAGTGTTTTAGGCACCAGATAATAGCCTTAGCACATGAGAGCAGATGGTTGGGTCATCTAGGCATCAGGAAAACTTACCTGGCGGTTCTAGATCATTTCTTTTGGCCTGGAATGAAGAAACATATTGCGTGTTTCTGTAAAGGGTGTCATGTTTGTCAGATGGTAGGGAAACCTAACCAGCCCATTAAACCTATCCCCTTGTTTCCGATTCCTGTGATAGGAAATCCGTTTGACCATATCATTGTAGATTGTGTTGGTCCTTTGCCCCGCACAAAGACAAGAAAAAGGTATTTGTTGACGGTCATGTGCAGTGCTACTCGATTTCCTCAGGCGATACCGTTGTCTTCCATCACATCTAAGTCAGTTGTTAAAGCTTTATCCACCTTCTTCTCACTCTTTGGCTTACCCAGGGTGTTACAAACAGACCAGCGTTCTAACTTTAAGTCAGAACTGTTCAAACAGGTTGCTAAAACATTGGGAATACAACATGTAACGTCTTCTCCTTACCACCCGGAGTCACAAGGTGTCAGAACCCAAGCCCCCAAACCGGCCTCTCCCAGCTAACCGGCCTCCATCTTGGACCACATTTCCCAGC